CCCCTCCGGTGACCCTCTCGCGGGCTTCTCGAGCACGAGGGCGACGGTCCAAGTGGCATACGAGGTCGAGGGCGAAGGTGGAACACTCAGAAAGGAAACCTTCGTGGTGAAGCTCATCCCCACACTTGGCTTTATGTCGTAAGTGTTGAAGAGAAGGCTTTCTTGCGAGGCTCACAATCACATTTGGCTTCATGCTCGTATACATACTGATTTTAAGTCGCAATTTTTGAAAAGAAGCCTGCTCGTCACGCATGTCTTATGGAGCTCGTACCTACACTAGCTGTAGAGTGTAAGTTTTGAAAGACAATGTGTAACTCTCACACCCGTGTCTTGTTCCTCATCAGATCCATATTCCGCCTTCCTGCTTCTGTCATTAAAACGCAAATATTTTTTTCATATATGACTATAATTATAAAAATACATGTGCGTACTTAAACATATGTGTCCGTATGTATTTGAGTTTCTGTGTAAACTGTGAAATCGTATGCATGGTTAAGTTTAGATGACAAGTACTAGCGAACTTTGTACATGCCTTACTGTGTTAATGGTTAGTGCTGTGTTTATTTCAGGTTTATTGTACATGGAGTGCGTACCCAGAAGGAAATGTAATCTACTAATTTCTGTTTCTGTTATGCCAGTTTTAAGTTTGAATATCAATGTGTTGGTGTGTGTGTCTCCTTTCATTTTCTCTTTCTTTCTCTGTTCCTCTCTCTCTCTCTCTTTCTGTCTCAGTCTTTGTATCTTTCTCTCTTTATCTCTCTCTCTCTCTCTCTCTCTCTCTCTCTCTCTCTCTCTCTCTCTCTGTCTCTCTCTCTCTCTCTCTCTCTCTCTCTCTCTCTCTCTCTCTCTCTATATATATATATATATATATATATATATATATATATATATATAAATTCTTACGAAAACATATAAACTAATATAATACCCCCTGATTATGAAACCCATTATCATTTCTGTAATATGCCAGGAAGCTATTTGGGTTACAATACCAATACCTCTTCCGTTAAATTCTCGAGTTTTAGGTTTCGAAACCCAGTGACACTTCCGTACCATTCCAGGGAGCTGCTGGTGTCCTTCTTTAATTTCAAAATATGGTGACCGACAAAATGAAACACTGCCACAATAGAATTCGAATAAAAACGTGTACGTTTTTATTCATGTTTAGTTGTGACAGGCTTTTCATTTCACGTCACTGTGCTTGTCTATGCTGCGCTGCTCATTACCTCATCACACTACTGACGCTTATATCAGATCTCACCCCTCGCAGATCCGAAGCCTCCTATGCAGTTGAAGAGCTGGGTGAAAGGCAAGTGCCCCTCCGGTGACCCTCTCGCGGGCTTCTCGAGCACGAGGGCGACGGTCCAAGTGGCATACGAGGTCGAGGGCGAAGGTGGAACACTCAGAAAGGAAACCTTCGTGGTGAAGCTCATCCCCACACTTGGCTTTATGTCGTAAGTGTTGAAGAGAAGGCTTTCTTGCGAGGCTCACAATCACATTTGACTTCATGCTCGTATACATACTGGTTTTAAGTCGCAATTTTTGAAAAGAAGCCTGCTCGTCACGCATGTCTTATGGAACTCGTACCTACACTAGCTGTAGAGTGTAAGTTTTGAAAGACAATGTGTAACTCTCACACCCGTGTCTTGTTCCTCATCAGATCCATATTCCGCCTTCCTGCTTCTGTCATTAAAACGCAAATATTTTTTTCATATATGACTATAATTATAAAAATACATGTGCGTACTTAAACATATGTGTCCGTATGTATTTGAGTTTCTGTGTAAACTGTGAAATCGTATGCATGGTTAAGTTTAGATGACAAGTACTAGCGAACTTTGTACATGCCTTACTGTGTTAATGGTTAGTGCTGTGTTTATTTCAGGTTTATTGTACATGGAGTGCGTACCCAGAAGGAAATGTAATCTACTAATTTCTGTTTCTGTTATGCCAGTTTTAAGTTTGAATATCAATGTGTTGGTGTGTGTGTCTCCTTTCATTTTCTCTTTCTTTCTCTGTTCCTCTCTCTCTCTCTCTATATATATATATATTATATATATATATATAGATATATATGCACCACAACGAGGTGGGTCAGTACAGGCACTTCCTACGGTCCCTCGCGGCGTGGGAGGCGGAGCGGAGGGGCGTGTCCTGCGGAGTCCTTTGTGAGATGATCCCCCCACACTCCCTCGCCGTCAGCTGCGATCAGCACTTCACGCTCGTCCTGCCAGAGTTGCGGGAGCTCGGCTACACGGTTAGTAAGAGTAATGGAGAAAGGAAAAGGGTGGTGTCGCGTTTTTTCTTTTTACGTTTCTCTGTCTGTCTGCCTGTCTCTCTGTCTCTCGCTGTCTCTGTCTCTGCCTCTCTCTCTGTTTTTTTTTCTTTCTCTCGGTCTGTCGTCTGTCAGTCTGTCTGCCTTTCCATCTGTCACACACACACACACACACACACACACACACACACACACACACACACACACACACACACACACACACACACACACACACGCACGCACACACATACATTATATTATATATATATATATATATATATATATATATATATATATATATATATATATATATAATGTTTCTGTTCATCTGCCTGTTTCTCTCTCTCTCTCTCTCTCTCTCTCTCTCTCTCTCTCTCTCTCTCTCTCTCTCTCTCTCTCTCTCTCTCTCTATCTCTCTCTCTGTTTTTTTTTCTTTCTCTGATTGTTGTCTGTCAGTCTATCTGATTGTATGTCGTATGTCATAAATATATGTGTATGTATGTGTATGTGTATATATATATATATATATATATATATATATATATATATATATATATATATATACATACATACATACAGACACACACATGGGCAGCCGCCGTGGTGCAGTGGTAACGCGCGCGGCTGCAGGCCTCGAGGGTCGTGTTCGAATCCGGCACCAATGGTTTGAGATTAAAAGGAAGGGCATCCACTCGGGTTAACGGCCGCGACCTGCCAGAATATAAATTATAAATATATATATATATATATATATATATATATATATATTTTTTTTTTTTTTTTTTTTTTTTTTCCCCAACAGCCATTCATTCCACTGCAGGACATAGGCCTCTCTTAATTCAGTATTGAGAGGTTATATGGCGGTGTCACCCTTGCCTGATTGAATGCCCTTCCTAATCAACCGCGGTTTGGCGCGTTAATACTTGTGCCACGGCGGTGCCGATATGTCGTTTTCTCGGGTTCGAACAAGCAGTCAGAGCGCAGGCATTTTTACAAAAGCCGCGACGGGGAATTGAACCCGGGACCACGAGGGTCGGAGTCGAGTGCTCTAACCACTGAGCTATCGCGGCAGTTATATATATATATATATATATATATATATATATATATATATATATATATGTATGTATGTATGTATATATATATATATATATATATATATATATATATATATATATATATATATATATATACATATATATCGTTATTTCTGTCACTGTCTGTCTCTGCCTGTGTATTTTTCTCCCTTCTTTTCCATTAATAAAAATAAAAACAATTACTTTAGTCACTAATGTATTTTGATCTTTAAAATTGCCCACTGTGAGTTTCGTTTATTGTCTTTACACCATAGGTCTCCACAAATACTAAGTCAGCACTAGCCCAATTACTAGTACTAAATTATCTTTAGGTTTTTTAAAATTTAATTATAAATATAAATACACACACACACATAGATACATACCTATTAGCAATGTCAATAGCATTATAATAATCATAATGTCTATAATTATTATCATTATTGTGATAATAGCAGTTTCCCCTAAAATTGAAAGGTGAAATCAGTAGAGGTCACTATGCCTAGTAATTGAATCCTTAGTTCTGAACACATCTTAATAACCATGTACTTTATTTCTTTTAGTCTACTACTTTCGAATCTGTAGGCCATGACATGATTCACCGGTGCGCCACTGACATTTATTAGGTTACGTAATCGACTACTGTCAACAAAAAAAGAGTTCTGCCATTTTAGCTTGTTTTTCTTTATCAAATTTAAGCAGGAGAGAGAGAGAAAGAGAGAGAGAGAGAGAGAGAAAGAAAGAAAGAGAGAGAGAGAGAGAGAGAGAGAGAGAGAGAGAGAGAGAGAGAGAGAGAGAGAGAGAGAGAGAGAGAGTCAGTCAGGCAGAAAGGGCGATTCATAATCTAAATACGAAAGGCAATGGACCACAAATACTTAGAAGCCACCAGTAGGCTGTGGTCTTCAGGAGATTGAAAACCACAAATCGAGCCCAACACAGCTTCTCCATTATCCCCTTCCTCCCCTAAGCCCTGTAATCGGCAATCGTCTTCCGCGCCAAACTCTTCGGAACGTGCACACCCAAGAATAACAACTCACTTTGCAGCATAGTAAAGGCGTATTTTGGACGAGAAACACAAGCACGATATGGCTTGATTCAGTTTGCTTCGTCTTGTCAAAAACAATCCCAGCGCACCGCTTGCTATCGAAGTAAACAAAGTACTGCAATATCTAATGACCCTTCGTGGTGGGTGACAGGGGTAATCGTGAAAGGTAACGGACTGGACGCTGTTAATGAGAGTGGATTTAGAAAATCTTTCCTCACTGTCGTTTTACATCAAGTGAATAAGATAAGGAAATTATAATGTTTAAAATAATTAAGATATTATACAGCACAAAAGTTTATGAATAATTTGATGAAATAAGCGTCCACACATTTTTGGGCCGCAGTTTAAAATAATATCTACTATTATGAGCAAAGTTAAGTTTTTCCAGACTGCGAGTTTAGAATGAAAATAACAAAGGCAAATAAAAGTGTTCTTCAAAAATCCCTTGGATGGTCGTAATACAATATAAGTAGCTAGTATTTATCTTCTAGAGAATAATGAAACTATTAATATACTCACGTTAATACTTTTGGTCCGCACAGATATGACCACAGCTTGGCAGTTTATGATATAATTTATTGGTTTATTATGTTAACAAGAGATT